TGCCTTAAAGATGCTTCTCAATAGAACAGCCAGCCAATATATAGCAAAGTTTGTAACCCAAGGAGACAGACATGTTCCCAAACAGTCATCCAGATCTTCCAGCCTGACATCACCCAGATACTGCCTGGATCAGTGATTTTAAGATTGCTAGCCTCCAACATCTAATTATGAGCTTCTGAGTCAACAAGAGGTTTTCATTCCTGGCACTGGCCATCTCCTTCCAGATACAGTGGTACCTCGGTTCATGAACTTAATTCGTTCTGCGACTCTGGTCGCGACCCGAATTGGTCATGACCCGAATCAAAATTTCCCATAAGGTTCAATGTAATTACGGTTAATCCGTTCTGAACCATATATATATATTTTTTAAAACCGCAAAAATATGAAACAAAATACAGTACAAAGAGAGAGAACGCTAACCTTGCTCAATGCGACTTCTGGCGTAGAGGACAGGAAGGTGGGTGGGGAGGCGGTTATTGCTTGGAGGGAGAGTCCCCCTCCGTACAGGAAGCTGCGACCACGTGTCACGGGAGAGAAAATGGCCGCGGATCCTGTTCGTCACCCGATCCGGTGTTCGCGAACGGAGGCAAAATTTTGTGAATGGAGCTGTTTGTGACCCGAATTGGTCGTGAACAGAAGCGTTCGTGACCCCCGATCCGGTGTTCGCGAACGGAGGCAAAATTTTGTGAATGGAGCTGTTTGTGACCCGAATTGGTCGTGAACAGAAGCGTTCGTGACCCGAGGTACCACTGTACTGTGTCTCAGGCACTGTTGTTGGGTGGAACTCACAGGACTTGTTACAACTGAATAGGAAAGTCTACTCAGGGCTTAACTCAAACAGGGCAGGAGGATCTGGAGATGCAACTGAGCAGTTATTTTTGAAGGATATAATTCCCATTAAAATTCAGCAAAGGTAACTTTAGGTAACCCAATTCCTTTAGATAGAATTACCAAACTGGTACCCTCCAAATGTGTTACACTACAAACTCATCTTCCTCAAGCTGCATAGTGATTGGCTATAATGGCTGGGAATGATGAAACATCATGGTGTAGCCCATCTGGAAGGCACCAGGTTGGAGGATGTATAGGCGTGGGGGGTGGGAGAAGAGGTTGCTTGGCCATAGACCCAAGTGAGCCAGAAGATTTAGAGACATCAGTATTTATTTATTTATTTGAATGATTCAATATAGTATTAGATTCATATATTGAGGAGCTCAAGGCAACATGAACACCATTTCCTTCTCCAATCCCCCCTCCCCCCAAAAAGAACAATCTTAGTTTAGGCTGAGAGTGAATGGCCCAAAGTCACCCAGTGAACTTTCATGGCTGAGGGTGGGATTGAACCTGGATCTTCCTGGTCTTAATCCAACCTCTTTATACCACTGCGGCTCTCAGACTGCCCTCTCATTATGGTTAGGCTGAAGAAATTTATTCTCTTCTACAGTAGTCTTCCCCAACTAGTGCTATCTTGAAGGATTGGAACTGCAACTCTCAGAATTCATAGCTACCCTGGCTTTGGTCTTTTTTGGCTAGGAATGAATTTTGGCCATGTTGTCTTCGATTTCTAAAACTTATAGTCTCAGCAGACCAAGAGACATCTAAAGCAAAAGATCTGTCAGTTTAATTTGTTCAGTTGAATTTCTTTGATTTAAGTGCCACCATACTCCAAATGACTCTTGGTTATATTGTGAACTACCCAATATAGAGTATAAAGTATGTTATAATCTAAAAACAAACCAGCAGAAAATAAAGAAGAAAGCAGATAAAGAACAAGCTGGTGAGTCTGGCCAAAGACAAAACTCACAATGGGCTCCAATTACCATAGCTCAAGGCCTACGGGAACAGCCAGTCTTCAAGAGTTTTGTTGTTTGTTGTTTCCTACTATATTGTTTTTATATTGTCTGGTATATTGTGAGTCACCCAGAGTTGTTTGGAGTCAGGCAATATCAAATCA